GACGCGCGTTTTGATTGGTTAAAAAGCTATGGTTTATTGTGCCGGTAAACTCATAGAAAACTTCATAATTTATAGTTTTTTTTTATAAAAGCAATAGACCACACTTTCTACCTGGGTTTACTGGCGTGTAACACTAATTTGCGTAAAAACAACTTGATTTACATAAGAAAGCATGAGGGGTAAGAAGGGCACGCGTAAACGACACGCATAGGAAGCGACGCGGTGGCTCGGCTGTTGGCGGTGCACCCGGCTGGAAAAATGGCGGAAGATTTCGCAATAGTAAGAAGCAAGCAAGAATGCATCATAATACGTCTGGACGGATGACAGTCGTGAGTTCTATATGAAGAAAATCTGGTAGAACAAACATCCCTTCATATCCTGGAGCTGCCGAGAAACAAGCAAATGTTTTGAAAACGGTAGGAACGTTAAAAAAAGTTTAGCGTGTTCTGAGCTTTAATTCGGCTCTCACAAGAGCCCATAACCTGCAGTGAGCAACTCCTCTGTGCCATGCAACGGCGTTTTCAGCAGACCAGTTTATTTTTAGATCGATTTTCCCGCGAAATTTGAATATCAAACAAGTTTTACAAATTAGCCATCAAAAACCGGAGACTAGAAGAAAGTCTTTCTGATGTTTTGATAGCATTCACTTATTCTTTTTGTAAAAATGATGCGAAAAATAACTTGATCTGTGAAAACGCCGTTGCTTAGGCTAAGTATCGGAGTTACACTCTTCGGGTTATGGGCTCCTGGCTTTCAGAAGGAATGAAAAAGGCCTCGACGGATGACAACTCCACGATCTGCATAATTCTTTAATATATTATACTCAGCCTCATCCAATTGTTAATTGTAAAACAGACGTGTCTTAAGAATTAGCATATCGTAAGCAATTTACTCATCTTTCTATTAAATTTCCATTTATTTTAATATTGTAATGTCTCCTTCCGGAACTGCTGTAATTTATATTTTTGAACGTAGACAAGAAAACCCTGTTAAGTTGTAGAAAGGTTTTAATATTATCTCCGTGTTTATTCTATGTTTTACGCACTAATGCTTCCCAGAACCAATCAACACCTTCTATTTGAATAGGACTACGCGATTCGAACTCAATTGCTTTTCCGTCATCATTCTAAGTAGATATGAACACGAAATGTGTCGTGTCATCTGCTAAAAGTTTTTTTTTTTTTTTGGGATTACCACATATATCATACGATGAACGGAGATATTATGACAAATTTTATTTGTTTAGCATGGCTAATCTTTGAAGAAAATGAAAATCGTATTCAGAAATCTCCTTCCACAATGATTATCACTTTTTTTTTTCTTTAAAGTCAACTCAACAGAAATTTAAAGAATTGCTTTCGGAGCATTGCCAGCTTCATTGCCGGAAGAAAAACGCTGCCGAATTGTCTTGATGATGATTAAATCAAACTATAATTATCCAATGTATTAAACCTTGAACGATCGGAGACAATTTTACACCCGGGCGCACTTTGAGTTATGTCGGTTGAAAAACGTCTCTATGATTTGTAGCCGAGTGTTGGTTTATTCAAATAAGAAATCTGAGGCTATCGCCAACAAATCTTAAGACATTTTTTCCATGTTTTTCGCAATAAAATACAGGATACTGTAAATAAAAAGTCTTTTCTTTGGCCTATTGGTTCTGAGTTGCCGGCAAATAGTTACAGAAAATTAAATCAAAATTTTATTTTTGGCATTTTTTTTGTCGCATTTGTCGATTAGTTCGATAATTTTTTGAATGCCTGGCAACTGTTCCTTAGACGGGCTGGGGCGGGGGAGACTCGATCCTGTTTACAGGAAATAAAATTGAAAATTGAAATCTTTTTTGAGCCTGGAACTAAAATATGACGTCGGATGCTACTTAAAAAGGACCGTGAAAACTGTTAAGAAGACTTGTTCGTTCCGCGCTCTTGAGATTATCCGGCTCTACTCAGGGAAAATCGTCGTCTCTTTCTTAACAATCCAGCTTAGCGGATAGTTTCAATAGAGGTTAGATCGGTCTTGCACTTAGCCCAAAAAAATATTTCAAGGAACCCAATTAAAGGGCGATATCTTAAACGAATCTATGAAAATCCGCAGAATGTAGCCTTGATATAACGAACCTATACAACGCCGAAGTCATGGGTATAACGAACGACATCCTCGACCAGTATTAGTAAGATATATGGTGAATAACCGCGACACTGATAACGAAACTTCGTTATAACGAAACTTCGTTATAGTGAAAAATGCCAGTAGATCCCGCGACTCTTAGTTTTATCGAGGTTCCACTGTTAGCTACTGTTTGCGTTAGCTTGCGTTATCGTGAGGCACCAACGTAGTACTCATAGCTCGTTCCCCCGGGCAACTACATTACTGACATTTTCATAATATTCAAATTTTCACTAAGTCTCCTTTCAGTCAATTGTTAGCTTTCTTTACAGCCTTCTACTTAACGAGCTGTCAACGAGACTGCCTCGGGATGACATACGTTTTGTTCCAATTTTATTTAGCTATTGTTTCACTTCGCGTTTACATACGAGTGATCAAATAACTTCCATTTGGAGCTCAAAATGACAAGTACTATTAATTGACGTTTCGCGATTTCGATCAAAAATATTGCTCTAGTTTATGGCTTAGATCATGATCTATCGCCATAGACATTGGCTTTGAATAAGACAACGTTATTCCTCAGCCGAGTTTTTTTATTTTCGATTTCAAAAAGCACCTGATTCTGATCCGTACTGAAAGAGTCCAGCTGATATTTGCCCACAAACGCCTTAAACGCAGGGATAATCTCGGGCAAACAAATTGAAATTCTGTATCGTGCGACAAAAGACGCGATCATCAAGTTAATGGAAGGCTCCCAGATTTGATTTAGGTAAGGAAAAAAAACATTGTAAGGAAAATTATGCTCCTTTATACTCAACTCATTAGACATAAATAATTCGTCGTGTTCCGTCCAAGTTAGGTAATGTAATATTATTCCCTTCACACTGTCAGCAGAATCACAGTATTTGTCATAGACACTAGACGATACGTTTATTTACAGTTGAAGAAAAATATTTTTCTGTATTAGGCACTGTTATAGTGCATCAACAAGGGCGCGAGTAGGGCTCATGAATTTTAAGAGCAAAATTTTCGTTATTTCCCCATATAAGACATTGTAAATTAGGTATAACGTGAGGAAACTGAGGGATTTCATTTCTTAATTAAGTTGAGGAAAATTTTTCTTTACTTGAACATGTCATGTCCGTCTAGCAATCGTATCTTTGGCTAAGCAGGTATACGTTACTTGTTTGGCTAATAAAGTACAATTATTTTCTAACAAAGAAATGTACACTTAGAAAACAAATTTCGCGCCGAAAATATTCTTAGCTAGACGAAAGTGAATTTGAATCTGTTCACACCTAAAGTTTTCCTCTTCAAGATGCGCTCAAGGAAACCATTCGCCTGACGATGAATATAATTATGAGTTTTGGAATACGTACAGAGTAAACTTCACAATAGTTTTCATCTCGGTGGTGGCGTACAATATGTTACACTACATAAACTCAATTTTCGTTCGATCATACGGATCAGTACGGTTTATTCTCCCAAATAATAATAATAATGATGATAATAATTACAGTAATGATAATAATAATAATAAAAATAATCATAATGATGATGATGATGATGATGATGATGATGATGATAATGATGATATTTGATAATGATAATAACAATTCCTTTATTTACCCTCGGCAGGTTTTAAAACGCTTAGGTTGTTCAGATCTTAACCTTCTTGTGTTCTATTCACACCAACGTAACATGTTTAATTAAGGTGGCTGAACACAGTTTCGACAGTTTGTGAGTATATGTCATTTGCCAAATCATGGCAAGAGAAAGGTTGGAGCTCACAAGCTGAAGCTTGACAAATGAAAAATATACTGAGGAACATTTTGATTGACAGGTAAAATGTGACGTTTTCGTTGTTTCCATGTCAACACGATCGATTGAATACAACCTTAAAATTTCACTTTTAGTTGCTCAGTTTACATAAAATTCGCTCATTAGATTTTCCTATAAACTTGCACACAGCTTACTCATTAATCATTACCATTTGAAACTTATTGGATCAAATTTTAACAGTCGGGTTTTTAGATAATCAACAGTTAAAATACGATAAAAGAAAAAATTCTGCCAAATATCACAAAGTTTTAATGAGAAGATTTTGAGAAATCGTCTTCTGTGTACAATTTCTTTTTTCGCCTCCATGTTTGTTTGTGTAATTTAAAACACGCCGCCGTCACGCGAGTTAACGCTGACTGTCCGCCAAACTGTGTTCAGCCACCTTAAACGAGGTTTTAAAATTGAAAAACAGACATAGAAAACTTGAGCACAGGTTTTCACACAGGATTCAAATGGAATTCAACATCATGTAACATGTCAGTCAGTACGAAACTTTTATAAAAGAAACACTATTGAACCGTGTTTTACCATAGTTATTAGAGGAGACTGGTTATGAAAAGCGGAAAACATCGATGATAAAAACAACAGTGCTGCAGTTTATGTTGGAAGCACCCTGAAAGTGCACAATCCTTTGTTTTCTGTTGGCAAATTGTTACGGAATAAATTAATGCAACGTTTTTATTGGTCAATACAATCAAAATGATAGGAATTCTTTTGAACGTTGTGCACTTTCAGGTCCACAAAAACATATAACAAAGGAGTCTGACTGGTTTCATAACCATTCCACTCAATTAAGTATGGTTTTACTAAACAAATTTTAAACGTTTTAAAGCTTTGGTGTGAATGGGGCATAAATTTGCATACAATTCTCTAGGACTGACCGCTTTGACTGCATAGGCAGTTAGTGTCCATCTTGGAAGGATCTCTGCTGTATACTGAACTGTCTTGAAACAGGGGACCTTATGGGAGAGGTGACTAATGTTATATTTAGAAAATAAAATCTACATAACTTTGTTGCTTTGCCACAGACTCGCAAAAAATCAGCTAAAATGTCCTTTGATGGAGACACTTCCCGACTGTCTACTCGGTCACGCAACACTCGTTCCCATTCCCTCAAACCACAGAGTCAGCCCATCATTGCTCTCAAACAGCGTTCAAAACGCACGATGAGCCTACCTTCCAAGCCTGTGCTGTTACCGCTGATCAATGTTCAACGTTGCTATGACAATTGGGACGGGGCTGAAAGCGAGGATGATGAGTCTAATAAAAATGAGGAAGAAATGGGTATGTCATGTTTAATGTAAACTTTGTTTGAATCTGGTAGGAGGGGGGGGGGTTAAAAACAGATAGCTCTCCGGTCCCTCAATGATTTACTGTCCGTTTCGTTTTATCACTTTTTATCTCGCCCCTGGTTTAAAATGCGGACCAAGTTTTTCTTCATAAAGTTTTTCACGTTTTTTTTAATCTTCCGATGTTTTCACTATTTTTATGCCACTGTATATACCTTAATTAACTTTCGTTAAAGAAATATTAGGACCAATTTTTCCAATTTAGTGAACACTAGTGACCTGTCGGCTCAACAACAATGGATAATGCCTATGCTCCAGGGCCATCTTAAAAATAACCTACCGTTAGCGCTTTAGACCATTATAAATTTTTTTAAAATGCCTCGAAGTCTGGGCATTATTCTTAATATTTAACACCTGGCGACCGCACTCTCCAAATGGTTTCCCCCAAACACTGCTAGCCTCCGCCACAGACGAAACTAAATACTCTGCTCAAGTCTGTCTGCGAAACAGCGCCGAAATCCTTGTTCTGGGCCCCGATCAGTGTACCAGGATTTGAGGACGCGACATGATTGGCCTGTTAAAAATTCCATTGTCAATTTGCCTATCAGATTGAAGGGAAATTCGAGAAGCATTTCCGGTAATTCGTTGAGTCCGTTGGCGGCCCAGTCGAAAAAGGATTTTCGCGCTTTTTCGCAGACGTTACTAACCGAAGTCAAATTATATAATTACGTCCGCGGCGCGGGCTAGCGTTTTAATTCCAAACATATTAACTCTTTACCCTTATCATTTTTCAATATTTTGTTCTTTCAGCCTGGTATACACCAGTTGTTGGTCTGTCCTGTAGTCTTGCTATTTACTTTTGGTCATGCGCATTAGCCTACTATTCGAAGACTGAATGATGACAATTCTCTTTCGACTAATATATTAATAATGTATTTCCTCTTTGTTTGGTATTATTTTTTGAGACGAAAGATAGTTAATATTAAACATACTTATAGCTACAAATTAAAAGAACATACTTTAACTGTATAGTTAGTTTGTCCCTGCTTGCATTAGAGTGCATGGTTAACCCTTTTAGCCTCAATATCTAAATACAAATTCTCCTGACTAATCTCCATACATTTCCATATGGAACTAGTTGAGAGAACTTGTTTGAAGATCAGAGCATTTTCCAAAGACTGATCACTTTATTAATTCTCACAACATTTTTTCTGGATTATATGTTGATATCATTAGGAGAAAATTGATTTTGGTCATTCTTGGGGCTTAAAGGAGTTAACGCTAAAGCGCATAAACAAATTCTAGTTATTGTCTCCTGCTCGTTTTATGAGACTGACATTAAACTCACTTTATCAGGACGTTTTACAGACCTAAATATAAGCTGGTGTCAAAAAATGCACCAACATTTTGCCGCATGTTAGAAAATCCAACAGATTCCACGAGTAAAAATTTCCGGGAGTAATTGGCGAAACGTATAACGTGCAACACTGCCGCCACATTTTTAACGTTGTTGAAATTCTTGGTGGATATGCAGAAATGTAGTATGAAAATACCGTTATCAGTTATGTTTTAACAGCCCACCCATGCTACTTAAGTTGTAACCACCATGATGATCATGATCGCCGGTTCCTCGTAACTGCCCGCAAAAAATGAACTGAAAATATTTAATATTGCGTTAAAACATCCGCATTCCTAATCTTCAGTGCCGTGAAGTGCCAACGGAGGTAATGCGGCTAGGAGACAGGTAGCCTCCCACGCAGACGTTCTTAGCGGTTCGTCACGCGTTCCCGCCCCAAGCCTCACAAACGTCTGCTGAATCGAGGTGTAAAACGTAGACCAATCACAGCTCACTTTCAGATCTGGGAAGTGCACTTTCGACCTTGAGAAATTTCGCGCCAGATTCAGCTCCAGAAAGATCCGAAAGGTCTAGAAAGGTGAAGACCTTATTATACTTTTGGAACAAACTACCCAGTTCACTCACGCCTTCGTACTAGAGACTACCCTCAAAAACAAAATTACCTCGGAGGTTTAATTTTCTGAACGCGGTACGGAAGTCGGCTTTACTCCAAAACAATAAAGTGCGAAAAAAAATTCTGCCTTTTGTTCAGTTACGACGTACAACCCCACGGTTGCCTCATTCACAGAACAACTTTATGAGCAAATGACATCTAATCCATCCTTTACAAAGAGAAATATACAAAACACCAATGCTTATCTCCTAAATATTCTTGTCCGTAGTGAAACTCTTTGGTCACGTATCACACTCTACGGAGCTTGTCAGGGTATATACTCAACAAATATTTATGCGGGGATGCTCTGTCCTAAGGTTCAACCGCTTAACCTTTTACAAACCATTTTTCATGAAAAAGGTACCCCTTTTGTATACCTTCTATTGCCGACAAATGGTACCCCTTTCAGATACCTTGTTTAGAACTTTGCATCCCTTTTAACTGCTGTAAATGCACTATCTTTTAAACAGGAATCAATCACAAAAATAGAACGTTTCCTCGACTTTATAAAGCCATAAAATTCATCTGTCAGCCCTTTTGGGCCCTTTCACAGACCCAAATGACATACATATTCGGTACTCTGATAATCTGCATGTGAACTCCAGCTGATATCTGCGAACATTAGGGAAGGAATTTAACCACTCGGTTCAGCAGACGTTTGTGGGGGAGGAACGCTTGACGAACCCCTAAGAAAGTCTGGGTGGGAGGCTAGGAAACAGGAGGAATATAATTATTACATGGTGTGACGTATTTCCTGTGGACATGATGCTTTTTAGGCGCACACTTTCAGCTACATGTAACTCTGTAGACTTATCGATGTCAGTCGTTGCACTTCTGTACAATTATCGTTGTCAGTCGTTGCATACTTCTTTCTGGAAACATCATATAGACACTGTCTCTTTAAAAATCCGCAAAACGGTTGGCTTACTTGCGAAATTCCGTCATTTTGTACCACGGCAAATTCTTCTAAAAATTTATCAATCACTTATTTATCTGTATATTACATATGGACTTGCTGCTTGGGGCCAAGCAGCAAAGACACATCTCAATAAAATTCTATTGCTACAAAAAAGAGCTCTTCGGATAATAAACTTCTCGGATAGACGCGATCACGCAATACCTCTCTTCATTGACGCCAACGTTTTACCGTTAAACTTCCTATATTATCAGATCTTATGCATGCTGTCCATAACAGTAAGGTACCTTTTGGCATTTTAAATCTATTTCAAAAAACAAGTAGCTGCCACTACTACAATACGAGAGCATCGGCTTCAGGAAATTTTTATGTTAACAGTTCCGATCTAGAATTATATAAACTGTCTTCCACTGCAACATCCGACAACTTCCCAAGAATAAGTTCAAAAAAACACTCCGCAAATTACGTTTTGATATTCTGAATTCAGAAAATGACTATGTTGATACGCCCACCTTAATTAAAAAGGTAAATTAAGCCAAAAATGTCGAAAAATAAATTCTTGCTTTTTAGTTTCTACTCTTACAATTTGTTTGTGTAATTCTTTTTCCTTTAGTCTGTTATCTAGTCCTCATCCATATTACGATTTTTATTTCATGATTTATTTGTAACTGACTGTAAACTTTCCTTAGTTAATAGCCTTAGTCTTTATTTCTTATATTTTGCACGCATTGTCCCGCCTCGAATAGCCTTGCTAGCTGCGGGCAATACTTTTGTAATTTTATTTGTTTATTAATAAAGTTTTGTTGCTGTTGTTGTTGTTGTTGTTGTTAATAATAATAAAATGGAGAATGATAAGCTTAAGGAGCTCGGATTCCCTCCACAAAAAGGCTAAATATTTATTACATTTTCTAATGATGCGTACCGTTAAATTACTGATTGCGACCTTCCGACTGAAAAAAACCTGAATCAAGTGATTCACTTTTATTACTCTACTTCGATTTTCCACACACAAAAGAGTAAAAAGTTCGTGTTATCACGCACGATCGCTGCCTCGCGAAATTGATTCGCTGATGGATTGTAAGTGTCTTCACTGTTACCAAACATTCAGGAAATTTCACATTCCAAGTTAAGGAAACAGCAATAGTTCGCTGGTACAAATATGGTTTTATTTTTCAGTTAGCGTGTTAAGCAATGCTCGCAACTCCCACGTAACGACGTAGATATAGATGTTTTAAAAAGGCAGCCTTAGATTTGAAATAGCTTGCTTCAGTAGATTTGGCAATTGTTCCGCTTTTCTGAAATGCGTGCTTAATGCCTGCGTCCCTCTTCAGATTATAAATGTTTGTTGGACTTTTTTCCTTTGAAGAACTAAAGAAAAACAATAGAAACAAGTGGCATTTATTTTATAGCGAAGCAGAATAACAGAATGATATTACTCTAATATTATGCTAATATTGGTCGATGTCAACAAAAGCCCTTAACAAAAGAGTTGTGATTTTTATAATTCAAACGCCCAGTTGTTGCGAAAGATGATGCTAGGGACATCAAGAGAAATGATTTTGACAAACACAATCTTGCTTCTGCAAGTGTTACTGATGCAATTCGTCTGGAGTGAAAGTCAGAAATCAGTGAACTCGTTGCAGAGAAGATATATGAGTGACTCAGACGCCGTATGTAATGATAATTCCAGAGCAACTTTCTTTATCGGAGTTCAGTCGAGTAACAAATGGNTCTTGCTTCTGCAAGTGTTACTGATGCAATTCGTCTGGAGTGAAAGTCAGAAATCAGTGAACTCGTTGCAGAGAAGATATATGAGTGACTCAGACGCCGTATGTAATGATAATTCCAGAGCAACTTTCTTTATCGGAGTTCAGTCGAGTAACAAATGGATTCTGTTCTTTGAAAGCGGAGGGTTTTGTGCTTCGTTGGTGGACTGCAATAAGCGGTACTTGAATGAAAACTCGACAGTGTTAATGACTTCGACCTTGATGCCCAAGGAAGTAATTGGAAGGGATTTGTTATCTTCATCTCAAACTGAAAATCCTTCTTTTTATGATTATCGTCATGTTCTTGTACCGTATTGTAGCAGCGACTTATGGCTGGGACAGAGGACAAACCCAAAGAAACCGTTCCGTTTCGTCAACGATTCCTCTGTTGATAATTTCAGCTTTAGAGGCCAAACGATTTTCCGTACTCTCTTCATGGATTTACTTAGGGGATACAATCTTCGAGAAGCGGAGGAAATTGTCCTTTCTGGTAGCAGTGCTGGGGGAATCGGAGTTCTAAATCACGCAGGCTGGGTCTTGGACCACGTGATTAAATCTCAAGGTTTAAATGCTAAATTAAAAAGTATTGTCGACTCCGGATGGTTCATAAACTTTCAGGACAGTTTGGAAGCCAAAGTTAGACCCAGATTTATGTCATTTGCGAACATTACATCGGCAGCTTGTAAAGATACATCACGCGACTACATTTGCTGCCCTTCGGCATCGTGTATGATAGCGCGCGGGTATTATCCCTCGGACGTCCCGTTACTTATAGTCTCGAGCATATACGACCTTTTTATGCTTGGGGATGTTATCAGTGCGCAAGACACACAAGAAAATACTGCAACAGATAACTCTGCAGATTATTTAACCCTCGTTAGTATGTATGGTGGGGCAATGAATGAATCTATCAGTCTGATTGGAACTCAAGCTTCAAATGTGAGCATTTTTGCGCCAGCCTGCTTTCAGCACATTTATCTGTCCACATCAAGTTTGTGGGAAGAAGGAGGTGTTTTGCCACCTTCCGCTGAAGTTGGGCGCGGCCCGGCCAAGTACAGGTAAGGCTAGTGTGAATGAAAATTAAATTTAAAGCGATGGTTTGTATCGTAGAAACGAATAGATCATTTTGTTTTGATGACTTTGATATTGTTCGAAAAAATTATTTTATTTATTTAAAGTATGCAGCACTATTGTTGTTGCGGCAGATC